TGAATATTGACATTGAAACAATTCAAGTTTTTTTGATATTTCAGATTATACTGAGCAGAATCTCGGTAAAAAAAAATCTGAGGGATTTTTTTTTTCTATTTAAGAAGCTAAAAAGTGAATAAGCAAACGGGGAGGTTCAGGCTTGACATTAGGAAACACTTCTTTAATGAGGGGGTGGTCAAGCCACAGACTTCCTAAGGAGGGGGTCAATGCTCCAAGTCACTCCATGTTCCAGAGGCATTTGGGCAATCCCCTTAATATGGTTAAACTGATGATCAGCCCTAGAGTGCTCAGGTAGCTGGATTAGATGATAATTTTTGGCCCCTTACAGTTAAAATGTTCTCAGTTATTATGGTGCATACTTGATACTTCAGAGCTGGAAAAACTGTGTTGAAAGGTTCCTAATTGCTGTGCTAATTATCCAGTTAGTGATTTTTCATTGTTAAAGGCAAGCTTTAATGTCCTCTACACAATCCTTGCTACCCCCCACCTTTAAAAAGGTTTTAATTTCCGAAGTGCTTGAAATTGGGAATTCACCCAGAGCTGTTACTTGACTGAGTGTTGTCAGAGTAAAACACAGGGGTATTTTTAGGCCACTCCATGAAAATGTTGATTGCTCAGCAACTATGTAATTTTAAGATTAGTTAGATCTCTTCTTCCTGTATCAGAGAACACCTTTTCACATAAACTGAATTAAAGAATATCAGACTATCAGGGCAGTGCTGACAATTAAATTGCATTGTTAAAAAAAGAGACCTGTCTTAGTTTAAATACATAACTGATCTCAGTCATGGTTTTGGAAAAGATTGTGCAGGTTACAACTAAAATGTCTCAAACATGCAGAGGTGTACTTTTGATCCCACTGGAACTGTACAAAGGGTCAGTAATACCTCATGCTGCACCAGGAAGGAACTTCTTATGTGTGCTTTGTGATATTCAGTCACTGATAACTTCTTAATAAAGACACATCTGTTTATGTAATTTTCAGGTAGGATAGAGCACATTCTTTTGTTTAGCATATTTAATCTTGAAACCTTCTTAGTGCTTATGAAACTATAAACTCCTGCAGATACTGTTGAATATACTCACCTGTAAAACAGTTCATTGTTTACTAGCCTGTATAAATTAAACCAATGGTTTAGAGCAGAAAGTGGTGAGAAATGCATTATCCACATGAAATTATGTGGGCAATTCAGGGCATCAGAATACAACTGTTTATGCAGAGATTTGACAAGAATCAGAAATTTGTCAAGAAGGCTAAAGCTAATACTCCTTTCTTTACAGAAAACCAACAAGATAGGTACTTCCTTACCTCTTACCTGAAAAAGAGTCTATCAACATTAATGGCCTCTTGAATCCACCTAGAACACTGGCATTAGTTCACTAAGGGTATCAGAAGAGAAATGAGAAATACTACAAAAATTCTGTCAACTACATTCATAGCAATCTTTTAAAGAAACACAAAAATGTTTATAAATTACAAATTAAGAGAGAATTTTCATTCTGACAATTTGAAGGGATATCAATAGTTATTTTTCTGAAAGAATTTCAGAATTTTACAGTAATTTCCCATATGAACACAACTCTGTTTCCTTTCATTTAATTTACAACCTTTTTATTTTCATGTACCAGGAGGTTTGTCTTTAGCTTGCAAATGTTCTTATGTACCCATGCAATAATGTATGTTTTGTTGTGTTATAAATTCCACATTTTAATGCATATCCTGACCTGTACTTGAAAAGGATAAAATTTGCTGCTTGTTTATTATTTAATACATATAATAAGGCCACAAATCAAAATTGGAGATAATATCACTGTCACTTGGAATGTTGTTCCAATATTATACTAATTAGTATTTGTGTGTGTGTGTGTGTGTGTGTGTGTGTGTGCTGAGAAGCAGGTGTCTATAGATAATGCTGCTAAAAAATTAATATTGCAGTTTAACGGAATAGTACAGGTTAGATTGCAAAAATTTCTATCAGCTGGTCAAAGAGTATGCTTAGTTATTTAAAAAAGACTTTATTTGTTTTTCCCCTCTTCCATTCCACCTCAACCTTTCCAAAGCTATTATATGGTCACCTTAAATGAAGTCCACAGAGTTTTGTAATCTTATTTTTAGAGAAATTAAAAGCTGTTAGATCTTTCATCCACCTGAGAATCCACAGATAAAGATGTCTTATAGTCATTCTCACTTGGACCACAGTAGAATAATGATCTTAACATCCTCAGCATGACCAGTTTTCTTTAAATGGAAGAACTTCTTTTCTTCTTTTTCCTCACTGCAGGCATGGTATTTGCTGTTAAGAAGAGAGAAACAAAAACAAATATTTGGATACATTAGAAATACAGTATGATTCAGTCATTAAAAAACATAAAGTGTTCAGAAAATATCCATTCATGTCTTGGTTCTAGTCTAAATTTGCATAAACTTGGAGAAGCCAGTTAATATATTTGGACCCTTTTCTGTAAGACTGAAGTTGAAAAGCTCAGGGTGATCCAGATCTGCTCAATAATTTCCATAGTCTGTTAGAAGGTGTTCTTACAGAGTATCTATTGGAAACTCCAGACTATTTACACCCTTCCTACTGTGAGCAATGCTAGTATTAGGAAAAAAAAAAAATCCTTATTTTATTGCTTCTAAATGGTTGATTAGTCCCTCAGAGACACATATATACATATTACCACACATACTGCTCAACCTGCAGAATAAAAATATCAATTTTCTTGGCTTTTCTAGCCAAGAGCTTTCATTACACATCCATTATGGCAATAGCAAAATAACCATCTTAGCATCTTAGAAAAAGATCGTACTTAAAATGGGGTGGGAAGAAAGCAGAACAGTATTTAACCTGCTTAAGCTTCAATCAAATCTCATTCATTAGACCTTGTAAAAAAATTAGTCCTACATCATGAAGCCTACATAGGTGTAATAGTTTGGAAGAAGAGGTTTTGGAAGAAAAGATTCTGCTCTTCATGTTCTGCAGTGTAAATGTCCTGTGGAGAGACGTAGGACTGAAGTCCCTAGGCTTGCCAATTTCTTATCTTGTTTGAATGTGAAATTAATTTTTAAAGCTATTTATTCAAAATTGACTTAGCCAGTAGAATAGGAAAGATCAGACAATTCAGTTGCAAGAAATGAAGTATGAGGAAACTGGAATTCTTTGACAATGTAGTCCTTGGAGTAAATGTGGTGAATGAAGCCAGCAAGTAAATGATAAGGGCCTTTGCGCTCTGGATGTAAGAAGGCAATTTATCAACAGTACACGAACTCTCTAGTGACCATAAGACAAGAAGAAACCAAGTACAGAAGAAACCGTATGAGATTGTTTTAAATGCTCAGAAATTTTGTTTGGAGAAGAAGAGAAGCTTAGGTGCTGCAACATAGTTCATAAAGTAGAAATAAAATTGAATATAAACATTGATACATCATAGAATGCATGATGTCATATGCAATTCCATCTTTTTTAACTTCACGAGGGGATAAGAATTACCTTCCTCCTGCAAATTTCCCTTATCGCTGAATTATTCAAATCACAGTGAATAACATGGAATTCATAAAGCCAGGTGAAAAGAACTATCCAGCTCTAGTAGCAGTGAATTAATGATCAAATTTTTGGTAAATCAGAAGCCTTAGTTTTAACATGTTTAAGAGACTGGAGTTAAGGGAGTATCTGTTTTATTTTTTTCCTCTAGAGATTAAATATCAAATCTTTAACAGTCCCATTCAATTTGGCATTGCTTCGGTCTTGGTCATTAGTTAATCATAAATTTCTCTTGAACTATGAGTACTGTAGTTTCTGAGTCTCACCTGAGAACTCTTCTGCCATAGCAATTAAAACTACATGTGACCTTTGGAAACTAGGGCTGTTTTGGACTGCATCTGTGAAAAAGGATGCCTTAGTGATGACTGGCATCCATCAGGAGTCCATACCGGGACCAGTACTGTTTAATGTCTTCATCAATGACATAATGAGGCCATCAGCAAGTGTGCAGATGACACCAGGCTGAGTGGTGTAGTTGACACAGCAGGATGCCATACAGAGGGACCTGGACAAGCTTGAGGTAGGGGACCCATATCAACCTCATGAGGTTCAACAAGGTCAAGGTGTTGCATCTGTGTCAGGGCAATCACAAGCCCAAGTTCACAATGAGAGATGACCTCCTGGAGAGTAACACTTCAGGGAAGGACCTGGGAAGCTTCAGTGGGTGAAAAGCTGACCATGACTCAACAATGTGCTCCTGCAGCCCAGAAAGCTGACCATACCCTGGGCTGCAACAAAAGCAGCATTGCCAGCAGGGGGTGGTAGATGATCCTGCCCCTCTGCTCCCCTCTGGTGAAATGCCACCTGGAGTAGCAGTGCCCTACTACTAGTAGTAGTCTGGGTTTCTGAGCAAAGGAAAGACATACACCTGTTGGAGCAAGTCCAGGGGAGACCTCCAAGATGATCAAAGGGATGGAGGCCCTGTCCTTTGAGGAAAGGCTGGAAGAGTTGGAATCTTTCAGCCAGGGGAGAAGTTGAAAAAAAAGCTTAGGCAAGGCTCCTTAATGACCTTATTAGGCTTTCAAAAGAAAGGGGGCCTACCAAAAAGCTGGGAAGATACTTTTGGGAAGGGCATGTAGTGATTGGACAAGAGGTAGTGGCTTTAAGCTGGAAAGAGGAGAGTAGATTTAGATTATATATAAAAGAGATTTTTCCAGAAATGTTGAGGCATTAAGGTAGTTGCCCAATGAAGCTGTAGATGCCCCATACATGAAAATATTCAGGTAGCATGAGGCTTTGAGCAACCTGATCTAGTTGAAGATGTCCCCATGGCAAGGGAGTGGATTAGCTGATCTTTAAGTGTCCCTTCCAACACAAACTATTCTGTGACTCTATGTTTCTATGAATCATCCAGGTGATATTTCTCTGGAAAATAAGTGTATCTGCCACATGACTCTTTGGAGTTGTTTTCTTGTCTTTTCTTTGCTCTTTCCTTATACTTGACCTCTTTTCTTTCAGCCTTGGACAAACTTAGTACTCAGCACCTCTACCACCCAACCCAAGTGGAGATTGTGCAGTCCAATGTTGTGTTTGACATCAGCAGCCTGATGCTCTATGGTACTCAGGCTGTGCCTGTGAGACTGAAGATACTGCTTGACCGACTCTTCAGTGTACTGAAGCAAGAGGAGGTGTTGCATATTCTACATGGCTTAGGCTGGACACTGCGAGACTACGTTCGAGGCTACATTCTTCAGGTAGGAAATAAAGCAAAGCACGCTTTCAAACCCAGTAAATTAATTTTGTTGTTGTTGATGTATGGAAGTAGTGATGGTGCACCCAAGGTAGAAAGTAGAATATGAAGCTAATTTAGTCTGGCATGTTGAAGCCTAATGATGGTGCTGGCAAAAAAAATATTCAATTTTTCCTAAGCTAAAAAAATACAGGTGCCTTCATACCATAGTATTTATTTGTATTTGCTTATGTTTATTGTAGGAAATGCCTTAAATACTGCAAATACTGAGGTTAGCTACCTGCAAGCATGATCTGGCCATCAAAGGCAGCTGACAAGTTTTCAAGGCCTACTGTTTGACTTGGGAAACTAAGATGCAAGTCAGCAGCTCTGTCATCTTTTCTTTCCATCTTTAGAAAGATACCTAAAAATGTATAGATGAAATTGGGGTTGTGACCATGACTATATTGGAAAGTATCCTTAAGTATAAACAGGAAAATCCTTTTAATAAGGCCATTTTTAAAGTATAGCTTTAAATAAAGTATTGCATGCATTTTAGTTGAAATAGACAATCAGAAGAAAAATATGTTCAACAAAAAGCTGGACAGGCTTGTTTTATGGGTATGGTCATAAATATACATATAGCTGCTTATCTGAAAAATTTCATAATCTATTAAATTCCATAGTAAATTTTTACATTTTGTAGGATTATTTCTGATTAATAACCTAATACTACATAATTCTGAATTCTCTTAATTGCTGTTGACTTTGTAGGAGCTCTTCATTATCTAGAATGCATCCAGTTATTGAAGTGGACATACCTAAATAATTTTGAAAATTTTAGTTGCTGATTTATTTCTTTATTTTGTAGGCAATGATAGCATGCTTAGAACTTTATTCGAAATATGGGATTTATACCTGCTCTGAGAAATCCTGACTCTATTTCTTAATTTGTCTTCCGGTTTCTGTTCTTTGTATGTAAGAAGTAAATTAGCTGTATGTGGATTCCATGGAAAACTTCACCTTCTGTGCTTGCAAATATTTTCTTAAATGCCCTATATTTTGGATTTTTGCAGAAAAATATACTGAATTTTAAAACAGCCCTAGAGAAAGAGAACTAAAACGGTTTACACTTTAATAGTGACATTGTTTTATTCTTGTTAGGGCATAGATGGAATGGAGCTCTTTAATTCTTTCAGGGTTCTCTCAGGCATCTATTTTGTAAAGGATAAGTATTACACCTATTCAAATAGAACAGAATCCTTTTTTTCCATTACCAATCTAAAACTAACATATAAGGATATATCCATCATACTTGTACAGCAGATATCTATGATGTTTGTATGATATAAATGTATGATATTATGTATTTATACATTTTACATATGATATATAATAAAGATGGATACATGAGGGATATCTACAGAGATATGTACTGGGATAATGTGCATATTGCATCATATCTTAGATTCCTGGATTCTGAATGCGACTGATCTGGAGAGCTGAAGAAACTTGATTTGTAAAGGAATTAATGTAAAAAATATATCGTTTTTAAGATATAATATTAGAAATCTGGTTACTAAATGTGATTAATAATTAGGGTTAATATATTCCAAGCATGAAATGTAATTCTTTGTTTCTTACAGACAAGAAGACAGACTGTAATCAGTAGCTTTCTTGTTTTAAAGGCCGTTGAATCATGCTCATATTGATTTTTTTTAACTATCTTTTGGAATGACTCAATATATGCAAGAATGGCTTGTGATATAATTACATAGATATTTATACAGACTGAGACTGTGACCTATGAATCTGAAAGGTGTAAAGGCCTGTAATACCCCATTAGATCACAGTTCAGTTTACCCAGCTAAAAGTCAGTCACACGGTAGCCCCCAAGGCATGAATTTTGCCATTACTATATTCAACAACAGTATATTGAATATTATGCCATTTAAATGAGAACAATTACCAGTGAAAGTTAAAGGCAGCTGTTACAGACTTGCCACATATTGACTTCATTAGCACTCGACTGTGGATTTTCCTAATGAGAGAATGAAGACCTATGATAGGTGTGTAGTCGAGCATCCCTGTTAATTTAGCTGTCTAATTTCAAAAAATCACACACTGCTCAAGGTTAGAAGGGAGGTCATCTTGTCCAAACCTTCTGTCCAAGCAGAGCCACCTAGAACTGTTTGTCCAGGACCTTGTCCAGATGGCTTTTGAATGTCTCCACAGGATCTCTAGGCAAAAAGTGTTTTGTTGTTTCCATTAAAGCTAGAAAACTCGGTATACGGCAGAAAAGGAAAATTCTTAGTAAAACATACATGCAGAGAAATGTTGGAAAAATGAATTAAATCGATGATAATAAAAATGTCTTCTTTAAAAATAGCTCTATTGAAAGTATCTGTTATAAAGGAGAAAGAGCTGTGCAGGGAAATTTGAAAGGAAATGTGTAGTAACACAAGCACAGTAAAAGTGCATACAGGTAATGTCTTTGGGCAAAAGACATTGTTCCGTGAAGCTTATCATTATAGAATGAAACTTTTCAGACTTGTTTGAGGCTTTCAGACTCAGCTTTTGCATACAGAAAACGGAATAAAATGTTGTAAGCATCGTACAGGAGTTTCAAAAACATCAAGTACCAAAACAAATCATCCAGAGTATCACAAACTATGGGACTGTTGATAGGCTATCATGCAGTGAACTGAGGAACATTTGACTCTCAGTCAGGAATTACAGTTCTTTGTAACTTGTCTGTCCAAACCCACCTAAGTTATCAACTAATTGCAGTCAATTCTAGTAAATTTACCATACATTCATACATTCTCATTGTACAACAAATGCAGAAATATATATCTGTAGGAAAAGGTTTGCTATGGTAGTGTAGTTAGAGAAGCGCAATCTAGTAAAAATAATATTTTTCACTTGTAACTTTACAGAATCACTGTTCTCCTGTTTTTTTCCTCAGGGGAAGAAAAACAGGAAGCTTAGCAGCAAGGACTAAGAGAAGTAATAGATTAGAAAAAAGTAATGGTTGTAACAGATTCCAGAATACTTTGTTCAGGTTTGAGTTCCAGTGTTCATTGGCCACCATGCAAGAGATTTGTTAAGCTGGCACAAAACTTGAGTTTTATTCTTTGGGATGGTCTAAGACATCCACTTCGGCTGAATGTGCCCTCAGTAGGATGAAAGTGTTAAAATATTTTAACATTTTCTCTAAATGGAGGCGTTCTGAGGAGTAGGGTAGATGTATCCACTCAAAGTCAATTACTGTTGTCTGATGATTTCCACAACCAACCAACCATCCAACCAACCAATGAAAAAAACCTCAAAAACCAACAAAATGAGCAACCACCCTGCAAACCTCACAACTTTTCCCTTGTAACTTTAGAGAAAAAGCTCATGGTTTGCTCCACTGGAGAAACAAGAGAAAAACAATTGTTTATTAATGCTGCACAGTGGATGGGATTATTTGTAATACCTTCATTTTGACTAATAATGTTCCCAAATAGCAAATTAAAAAACAATGGGCAGAGAAAAAACCAGTATTTATGCCTTCATTCAGTGGATGCATTAACAGAGCGCAGGAAGTCAAGGAACCCTGAAGCCGCAGAGGTAATTTGATAACACCTTTTGGGCACAGTCACAATATTGCCAGTAATGGCTGAAAGGCATTAAGACCTGGCAAGATTCTCTGGCCTCCATGCAATAAATTGAGTTTCTAGTGAATAGATGCCTATCAATGAAGTGTTAGTGACAATTTGGTCACCAATCTCATCAGACCGTCACAGGATTAATGTCTTGGCAGAGGAGCTGTTCTCTCATCTTTAGAACTGATCCTCAGAAAAACTTTATGGCATAAAGGAACATTCTGGATTGTGTTTGCTCCATAGGAATTCAGAGTGCCTCAGATTTTAGAGCTGCTTTTTTCTACCTCAAGGAACTAATTTACTGTATTTGGTATCGACACGTATGCAGTCAATAGTGAGCCTGTAAGATTCCTCTTTTGGGAACACCTAACTTCCCATGTCTTTTACATGACAAAAAATTGTGTCAAAAACAGTGGGTGTTTTGGTTCAGATACTGCACATGATATTCAAAGAGATGTATATGACTAGTCTCTCTATTGATTTGAATGATGTTACATCTTCTGTAAAGAGCAGCTCAACTGTGAGTCTCCGTCCCTGGTTTAATTCCAGCTGAGCTGAGAGAAGAGGTAACTTTGCCAGCTGTTGTATGATCCACCAGAGATCACAGGGTTGGGGAGAATACTTTACCCCATCCATGTGCTAGTGTAGCTACATGTGTAATTGCTCCCTAGCCAGGTTCTCTCTAAACAAAGCAGGTTAGAAAAATCCTCCTTCTAAACATGTGTAAGTTAATGCTCATTATTCCAAGAGGAGAGGGCTAGAGAGCAATTATGCCACTAGCAGTGAACAGCTGGGGCACTCAGCTTTTACACTGGTCCAGCTGCAGAACACAGGACATGTGATTACAACTTAGAGGCCATAAACTGACTCAGTGCAAATAATGATTCAGTGTTTGAGTAACAGCTCAACACTTTTTTAACTGTTTTGTGGTGAAATAGTTGTACTCTCTTAGTGAAAAAGATGAAAATACATATTTTCTTTACAATACAAAGAAGGAAGCAGAGGAACAGAATAGAACATTGGCAGAATTAGCAAAAATGGTCTAGGAGTCCCATTCTTATCATGTCCTTGAAAAAAGTAAATTAGTCAGTAGCTCATAGGCAATCTTTTAGCTGCCAGACTCTCTGGTGCCACCCACAGCTATGAGAAATTTTTAAAAATAAAAAATAAATTTTTAAAAATAAAAAACACAGAACAAAGTCAAAACTAAAGCCAGCTGGAAGACTGTGGATATTTTATAGATCCAAAAGGAGACTCACTCACAAAAGTTCATTTACTGGACATTGCATGGGGAATCACTAATCCTAAATGAAGGTCTTATCTGTAGCAAAATCAATTCTGAAAAACGACGAAATTCAAATTTATTAGTTTGCTT